ATGTGGCATATATATACACTGGAATACTAATCAGCCATTTAAAAAAAATGAAATCTTGCCCTTTGCAACAACATGGATGGAGCTAGAATGTGCTATACTAAGCTCAATAAGTCAGTTAGAGAAAGAAATGCCATATGGTTTCGCTCATATGTGGAATTTAAGAAACAAAACGGATGAACATATGGGAAGCAGGGAGATGGGAAGAGGAGACAGGGAAACCACAATAGAAGGAAACAAATCACTCTATCTTTTAATAATAGAAAACAAACTGAGGGTTGATGGAAGGAGGTGGATGGAAGATGGGTTAGAAGGTGCTGTATGTAAGTGGTGAATCCCTGAATTCTACTCCCGAAACCAATATTACACTGTATATTTACTAAAATTTCAATTAAAAATAAATGTATGAACAATAAAAAGGAGAGAATCTTGATTCAAAAAATAAGTAAAAATTGGGGTGCTTGGGTGGCTCAGTCAGTTAAGTGTCCGACTTTGGTTCAGGTCATGATCTTGCAGTTCATGGGTTTGAGCTCCACGTAGGGCTCTGTCTGACAAAACGAATCCTGGAGCTTGCTTCAGATACTGTGTGTGTTTCTCTCTCTGCCCCTCTTCCACTCACACTCTGTCTCTCTCAAAAATAAACATTAAAAAAAATTTAATAAGTAAAAATAATAAAATGTAAAATAAAATAAAGTAAAAAATAAATAACAAAATAAAATTTAAAATGAAAATAAATTGCTTCCTCTGTATCCAAAAAAAAAAAAAAATCCCCAAGGAAAACTAGATCTTGTTTCCCCTAGAACTGAAGATTTGCAGCACTCTACAATCAGTAGAGTTGGTGCGTAGGAGGGATTTGTCCTAGCCCTCTGGGGGAGGGGCCTGCTGCTCTGATTCTCAGGTGGACTTGCCCTAGAGGAGATACACTTGCAGGGTGCTTCCAGTGGTGTTTGGTGAAAGTAGCTCTGGCTTCCACTTGGTGGCACTGTTTTGCTCACTGAACTGGATCAGTGTTGTTGGGGGTGGGGGTAGTGAATGGCTGAGCCTAGCTCTCTTGTCTCTGGAGCAGGGAGATCTTACCTGCCACTCAGGAAGCCCTCACAGATGAGCAATCATCTTTACTGTGTCCCCAGCTTCCATCAGATCCCCACCCTCACCCTGTCTGTGTCTGAGCTGTCTGCCTTCCAGGCAGCAAGCACTCCTGTATTTTATCTCAGGCATGGCTGTGATTCTAAACTCCAAACATCAGAGACACTTGTGGTGAGGACCCATGCTGATCCTCTGGGGAGGGTCTTGCTGCACTGTGGCCAGTGCAGTCTTGTCCAAAACTATGGTCACACAACCATCCTCCAGTTCGGAGTTTATGGTACATAGCAGCACAAAACTGGTGCCAAGGCTGCTGTCCTCAGCCAGTATCTTTTTTATGTTATTGAACGGGGCAGCTCAATGGCATCCACAGGATCTTTTGTGCACAGAAAGGCCAAATTACCTCTGCCAAATGCACTCCAAGCAGGGGAACTTTTTCCTCCCCATGCAACCCTCAGACCATGCTGTCCACTCCTGGGTCTCTGCCCTCCTTCCCCACTCAGCACTGCTGAGCCCACTGGGTGCGACCCTCCTGATGGTGCTGACTGCAGAAACTTCAGACTCTGCACTCTACTGTTTATAAAAAACTTGTAGTATTTAAACCCTCTCCTTTTCCCAGTCAGTGGTTTGGGGGAAGTTTTTTTTGTGCAATTCCCTGCGTTTGTTTTCACTCTTGTTTTCACTCTTTCTCTCTTGCTCCTCTCTCCATGATGACAGGAAGTTTCTTAGCTAATCCTATGTTGGTAATTATTTTGCAATATATAAATGTATCAAATCAACACATTGTACACCTTAAATTTACACAATGTTCTATGTTAACTATATCTCAACAAAGATGAAAAAATGATAGACTTTGGTGTCTATTTCCTAATATTAAAGAGGTCAACACTTTTACTGAACATTGTAATAAAAGTCATAGTCAACTCAGTAAGGCAAGGAAATAGAAGTAAACTGTTTTGAATCAGAGATGATATGGTCACATACCTAGTAAATCCAAATAAATCTACAAAAAAATCCACTTCAACTTATTAATAAATTTAACAAGTTTTATAAAAGTGACAAAATACAGAATCATTGCATTAAAATTATTGCACTGTATATTACTAGTAATGATCAAATGGAAACTGAAATTTTTAAAAAGGCAATTTGCATTAACATCAAAATAGTGTAGCAAATAGAAAAAAAAGGAAAGCCAAATTATACTTATAAGTCTTTAGTAACTCTGACTTATGAAAACTGTGCTACATAAATTTGGAACTTCTGTTTTACATAAAAATGGATCTGAAAGAGAAAAGTAATTGTAATCATAAATTAAAGGATATATGTGAAACACACTATTTTACAAAACTGTTATACAAAGAGCAAATGTATGCCTTATTTTCCTAAATTATAACTCGTTCTATGCCATTAGAAAAGAAATTGTTTAAATACACAGTTTATTAAGGTAAACCTTTATAATCTCTAAAAGAAACTATGGACTGTCACATTATTACCAGAAAGTCCATTCTAATGTGCAATAGAGTGATAATTTTTACAAAGTTAATGTTATTATTTTTTATACATGTCTCAACTTTTCTGACTCCAGTTTTAATAACATTAGATTGTGTTGAAAGAGTAAGAAGATGAAAGTCCCTTAGCAGTATAATCCAGCATTTGAAAAGCACTACTAAGTTACATTGTCTATCTTCTGAAGATTAATGATCTAGATTAAACTATCCATACCTATAATACAGCTAAAGTATTGTTAACGTATTCATTTATCAAATAAACAGGTGCCAGCCACTCTGGTCAGGCAAAGCAAAAGTGAGCAAAATGCAAAAGTGAGCAAAAAAAAAGACCCTAGTCCTAGTAGAGTTTCTATTGAAAGCTTATATAGAAGATTTCTTTCCTCCCCCAAATTATAAAATCTGTAAAACGATTTAATATCATATTTAAAAATCCTATGCATGTGGGATGCCTGGGTGGCTCAGTTGTTTGAGCATCCAGCTCTTGATTTTGGCTTGGGTCATGATACCAGGGTCATGGGATCAAGCCCTACATTGGGCTCAGCGCTGAACGTGGAGCCTGCTTAAGATTTTCTCTCTCCCTCTTTCCCTCTCCCCACTCGTGCACTCTCTTTTTCTCTGTTTCTAAAAAAATAATAAAATTAAAATAAAATTAAAATCCTGTGGATGTACCTCCCTTTCCCCATATTTTAAAATAAACTTTTCAATAAATAAATATAACCAGACATTATTATATTCTGAAGCTAAATTATAATACCCTGATATCCTTTTAAAAAGAAAAAAGTTCTGTCTTTGAAATTATGCAGTAATAAAATTACAACAGAAACAAATATTCTTTTAGGAACATGAGAAAATATCATACACTATGCCAGATGTTGTTGAAATAAACATATAAATGCCCTCAAATGTAGCATTTTTATTTTTGAGAAAGAGAGAGAGAGCACATGAGCAAGGGAAGGGCAGAGGAAGAGAGAGAACTTTAAGACCACATAGGGCTCAACCTCAAGACCTTGATAACATGACCTGAGCCAAAATCAAGAGGGTTGATGGGGGGTGGGAGGGAGGAGAGGGTGGGTGATGGGTATTGAGGAGGGCACCTTTTGGGATGAGCACTGGGTGTTGTATGGAAACCAATTTGACAATAAATTTCATATATAAATAATAAAAAAAGAGTCAATTAACCAACTTAGCAACCCAGGCACCCCTCAAAAGTAGCATTTTAACAGAAGGAGTCATGGTGAAGGCTAGCTACACAAATATTAGAATATTCAGTCAGAAAGAAAATTTTGAATTAGCAAAAAAAATCCAACTTATTTTCTAAAAGTTTGGTAACTTTAGTTTTAATATATACATAAAATCTATAAATCATCATCCAAATATTACTTATGGTGCTCCATTGTTCTCTGGCTCTACCCAACTTCTAAAACTTTTATTCTAATAGTTTTACAAGGTCTGACCTCAAAGCATAGAAGTTCTAACAAAACTCAGTTTTATTGTAATAACTATCAAGAAATTGTTATTAGGAATTTAGTAAAGGAAGTGAGCATAAGATTAGATTTTTATACATATGGCTTGCCAGAAGCCAAGCTATCCAACCAGCCTGATGGCAGGGCCCAGGCGGTAGACGGATCGGGACCGTCCCCATCCTAATCTAAATACCTCTTAATTTTAAAATGCCTCCTGGGGGAAGTGGGCCTAGGGGTTGGAGTAACCTGTGCCCATAGATACACTCCTTTGTTGCCGGAGTGGGGGTTTTAAATCCATTCGTCCCTCCTTGGCTGGGAAATGTATGAGGCTATCCTTCCTTTAGGTAGAAGAATCTTTATAGGGAGTGGCAAGGGCTAAATGTAGGGCTGCACAATTTCCTTGAGGAACCTTATTTCTTTCCCAAAGGTTCTTTCCCCAGGGGCCTGTCAAGGACAATTCCCCAACAGACAATTCCCCAGGTACTTTATTAAGGCCAAATTACATAAAAGCGGGAGTACAAATGGATTTGAAAGCCCCACTCTGGCAACAAAGGAGTGTATCTATGGGCACAAGTTACTCCAACCCCTAGGTCCACTTGGCCCCCAGGAGGCATTCCAGATGATGATTGAACCTAGTCGGTTAAAGTACAGAATGGTTCATTATTTCCTAGGTGCATTGTCTCTCTGAGAATGTATAAGGCCTGGGTTCCTAAGGCCCTTTTGGCCCCCTCCTGGCACCTCAGACCAAGGCGAACACTTTTGTTCCTCAAACAACAAATGGTTCAGTGAAACAACTAAGAGGTCATGTTCCTGTAACTGTTCCACTTGAGGTGTTGAGAGATAGATGACCTTTCATGAAAACAGCAAAGCAAATGCTTTATAGATTATAGATAAACGTAGATACATAATGAAAATAATGTAAGAAATTAATCAATAAGCAAAGGGCAGGAGGGAATGTTATGAGAAAATAACCATGTTACTCCTTAAAAGGTGATTACACATAGGAACATTTTTAGAATTAGGTAATGCTAGAAAACATAGATGATGCACACTACAAGGAAATTGCTAGCAAATATAATGCCACATTTGCCACAATAAAGCAGCCAGTTCAATACACTGCTGTTGTCTGTGTCCATTTTTATTTTTGATTTATTTTTTTCATTTTTTTGCCAACGCTGTTCAGCCTTCAGGAACCCCTGGACCTGCTGGAGCTTGACTCCGGCAATGGCTCATGAACAAATCCCCTATATATATAGTTATAGTTGTTATAGTTGTTATAGTTTTATAGTTATAGTTATACAGTAGTTATAGTTATGCACTGGAGCCATAGCCAGAGCTATGGTATTAAAAAAACAAACAAAAACAGCTAATCAACACTACTTACACTATGCATTTCTTTGATTTTTTTTTCATTTTAGCAAATATTTATTGAGTGGAAACTGTGTTAGTTTTTGTTAAAAACACTGAAGACACAAAATCTAATATGATGGTCAGGGTACCTGCTCTTGGGAAGTTCTCATTCTAATTGGGGAAGAGTTAAGTGCTATAAAGATAATCTCACAGAAAGATAGACTTGAGAGCGATAGGGCTCTATAATACACAGAATGGTAAGAGAGGGCTATTTCTTACGATCTTTCTCCTTCTTTATATTGGTGCACACCAAAGTCTGTAATGTTCCAGAAACAGCCTTCAATTTATAAAAATCCATTATTTCTTCTTCCAATTGTCTTCTCTTCTCCTCAAGTTTCATTGTCTCCTCTTGTTGGACTCGTTTAAGATGCTCAAACTTTTCTTGTAACTGTAAAACAAATGCGCAGCTGTGACTCAATGCACACTATGGTAGCACATTCCCAGGGACATGATGGTGTTTTCTACTGGTTATTAAATATAACCTAATCATCAGAGTAGAGCATGATCTTAGTAACAGTCTCTAAATTTCATGTTTAAAGTAGAAAATCATATATGAAATTTCTTTCTTAATTTTAATTTTAAATGTGTCCCCATTGAGCCAAATGTAATAAGATGCAAAATTATGAAAAATACTCAATTAAAAAATTTTTACTAATGTATAATTTTTTACTCTATACTTTTCCACTAATCTCTCTGAGTAAAAATTGATAGATCCATGTCCTGTAAAGATACATACATTAAATTTTGACATGGATTATAAGTTTTTTGTCTATACTTTAATTGATAAAGTCATTTCAAAAGAAAGTCTGATAATTTCCTTGTTAAGATTAGTACAATTATAGGAAGAAAAAAACCTCATTCAGTTACTTGTTATTTACTACTGAGATCTTTAATCTGTGGGATTTAAGCCAAATTAATCATAAGAAAGAGATAATACCACCTTAGTTTCCATTAGAGACAGGCCTGGGTCTTTAGTAAGACATTATTCAACATAAGGATTGCTTGTATGCATCAGAGATGGTATGATTTTTTTGAATTTTTGCTAATCCAAAAAAATTATAAAGGACCAACTAATTTTCAGTTTAACTTTTTGAAAAACAGGCTAGGGGCTTAAATTGCCACAATATTAATTACCTGCCTTATATGGCTGTGAAGAACACAAGCATGGTGTTGATATTACCCTAGATGCCCATTAGAATCGTTCAGTAAGTTTGTAAATCTCCTAATGCATAGGCTACCCACAGATCAATTGCATCACACTATCTGGAAATGAAACCTGAGCATCAGTCCTTTTAGAAAATCCCCAGGTAATTTTAGTGTGCAGCAAAGTTTGAGATCCATGGTCTTTCTTTTTTTCTTTCTTCCTCTTTCTTTCTTTCTTTCTGAGAGACAGAGAGAGAGTGAGTGGGGGAGGGACAGAGAGGGAGAAAGAGAATCTCAAGCAGGTTCCATGCTGTGAGCATGGAACCCAATGTGGAGCTTGATCTCATGAACTGTGAGATCGTGACCTGAGCCGAAATCAAGAGTCTGATGCTTAACCAACTGGGCTACCCAGGTGTCCCAAATTCATGGTGTTTTTTTTTTATTTTTTTTAATGTTTATTTATTTTTGAGAGATAGAGTAGGGGAGGGTCAGGGAAAGACGGAGACACAGAATCTGAAGGAGGTTCCAGGCTCCAAGCTGTCAGCACAGCTGACATGGGGCTTGAACCCATGAGCCATGACATCATAACCTGAGCTGAAGTCAGATGCTTAATCGACTGATCCACACAGGCGCCCATAAGTAAAGATTACACTCCTTCTGCTGAAGTCAGATAGAATTACATTTTCATGCCTGAGAAGGAAATGAATACTGACACACAGTTGAAAAGACTGGGGATGTGAGAGTATGATATCTATAAATGATGGCAAAAATCAGTGAGAAAACTCACTTAAAGATGGGAAGGTGAGACTTGGAAGGAAGATGGCAGTGGAGTAGGAGGAACTGAGGCTCACCTTCTCCCACAAACACAACTAATTAACTATCCAATCATCCTAAATGTGCCCAAAATAAACCTGAAGACTGACAGAACAAACTCCACAATTAAAGGGAGAGAAGAGGTCACATCAAAGAAGATAGTAAGTGTGGAGATGTGATTTAGAGGAGAAATGGATATCAGGTGCTGTGAAGGGAACCTGATATCAACAACCTGATACCAACAGGTAGCTGTTGGTCATGGAAAAGGGAGAGAGTGAGGGGAGCACATGGAGGAATGCACAAGGAGAATGTTTCCTCAAAGCCATTGGCTTGGAAAATAAAATGGGCTGAACTATGTGAGTTCTTACAACTTGTGAGGCTTAGATCCTGGAGTTTTCAAGATCAGCAAGTTTGGCTCAGATAGAGCCCTGAAAGCACTGTCCTGCTCCTGGAAAGAAGATAGGCAAAGAACACAGGGGCAGATGGCATGGAAACAGTGATCTGAAGAACACCTGGGACACATAATTGGAAAGATTATTTGTCCTTCTTAGAGCTTCTCTGAGAGACAGCATTCACTAACACATCTCTCCAGGAACAAAGGAGCTGACTGGCACAATTTCCCTTCTCCATCCTTCAGCAAAAACACAGAGCCACCTGCTGGAAGCAGTGCAGCACTGACACTGGCTGCCTAACTTCCATATACCAAGCCCCATGCATTCTACCAGGACTGCCTTCTCAGTCAAGCTTGCCTCAGTCCCAGTGTGGCAGGCCCCTCTCTCAGAACACCAGCACAAACGTCTGCCCAGATCACATCTCCTGACCAAGGAGTACTGCAGGGCCTCACTTCTAGCAGAACTGATGTCAGGTCTCATTTCACAAGCAGACCAGAGCATATCTAGTTAAAACTCACCACATTCAGGCCTGAGACCAAACATTACCTACTGCAGGCAAGGAGAGCCTCTGCAGATGAGTAGCCTGAAGGATAGAGCAGCCAGAAAACAACAGCAGAGTGCACACAGTACAAACTGCACATACTTCAGGAAGTACCAGGTCTGAGCACTAGCTGACCTCTTCTTTATTAGGCCATTACTTTCAGGAGGAAGAGACACAACTGGCTTTTCTAACACAGAGAAGAAAGGAGAGATTTAGACAAAATGCCAAAAACAGAGTAATTTATCCCAAATGAAAGAACAAGATAAAGCCAAATCAGAGAGCTAAGTAAAACAAATATAGGTAACATGCCTGATGGAAACTTTAAAGGAATAATCATAAGGATACTCTATTCAGAAAAGAATAGAAGACATCAATGAGACCCTTACCACAGAGATAAGAGAGTTAAAAAGAACCAGAGATGAAGATTGAAATACACACACTGGGAAACAAGCTTGATGCAATGAAGAGCAGACTGAAAGAAGCAGTGGAATAATATAGTGTCCTAGAAGGGAGAATAATGGAAAATAAAGAAGCTGAAGAAAAGAAAGAATTATGCAACACAAGAATAGAATCAGGGAACTCAATGAATCCATCAAATGTAATAACATTCATTTTATGAAAGATATGAATCTCTTTCATCAGTGTTGTATAGTTTCTCTTCTTATAGAAGAATAGAAACAATGGGGGTGGGGTTAGAAAATTTATGTGAGGAAATAATAGCTGAAAATTTCCCTAATCTGGGGAAGGAAACAAATATCTAGATCCAAGAGGCACACAGAACTCCCATCAAAATCAACAAAAGCAACTCAACACCAAGACATATTGTAATAAAATTTGTAAAATATAGAGACAGAGAAAACATCTTACAAGCAGAAGTCTTTACAAGGGAAGACCCATAAGGCTAGCTGGATATTTCTCAATATAGACTTGGCAAGCCAGAAGGAAGTGGCATGATATATTGAAAGTGATGAATGGGAAAAATCTGTGGCTAAGGATACTCTATCCAGAAAAGCTTTCATTTAGAATAAAGAGATAAGGAGTTTCCCAGCAAACAAAACCAAAGGAGTTCGTGACCACTAAACCAGCCCTGCAATAAATATTAAATGGAACTCTTTGAATGGAAAGGAGGGACCAAAAGTAACAAAGAAGAAAGGATCAGAAAAAATCTTCAGAAACAGTAACAAAACAAGTAATGAAATGACACTGACTACACATCTATCAATAACTACTTTGAATGTAAGTGAACTAAGTATTCCAATCAAAAGATATAGGGTGACAGATGGATAAAAAAAAAAACAAAAACCAAGAGCCATCTATGTGCTGTCTTCAAAAGACCCATTTTCAACTTAAAGACACATACAGATTGAAAACAAGGGGATGGAGAAACATCTTTCATGCAAATGGATGTCAAAGAAAGCCAGAGTAGCAATACTTGTATCAGACAAAATAGACTTAAAACAAAGACTATAACAAGAGATGAAAGAAGGCACAATATCAAAATACAGAGGACATTCCAAATATAATATCTAACAGTTGTAAATATTTATACACCCAACATGATAGCCCCCAAATATATTAAAAATTGAAACAAACATAAAGGTACTCATTGATAATACAATAATAGTAGGGGACTTTAACACCCCACTTTATACCATTCAGCTACTGAAAGACATCTCAGTTGTTCCAAGTTTTGGCAATAATGAATACATCTCTTTTAAACATCTGTGTATAGGTTTTTGTGTGGACATAAGTTTCATTTCCTCTAGGTAAATACCAAGGAGTACAATTGTTGAATTATATTGAAAAGGGCATGACTAGTTTTTTAAGAAAACACCAAACTTTTTCAAAGTACGTGAAAACGTATGAGAAAACAAGAGTCCAAAACATCTGGAATGCAGCAAAAGCAGTTCCAGAGGGCTGTTTATAGCAATATAGGCCTACCTCAAGAGAAAGAAAAATCTAAGCAACCTAACCTTACACTAAAGAAACTAGAAACACAACAGTAAACAAAACCCCAAACCAGCCGAAGGAAGGAAATAATCAAGATTATAACAAAAATAAATGATATATAAACTAAAAACAAAACAAAACAGGTCACAGCAATGAAACTGGGAACTGGTTCTCTGAAAAAAAAATAACAAAATTGATAACCCCCTAGTCAGAATTATCAAAAAGGAAAGAGAGAGGAAAGGACTCATATAAATAAAATCACAAATGAGACAGGAGAAATAACAACCAACACCACAGAAATACAAACAATTACAAAAGAATGTTATGAAAAATTATATGCCAACAAATAGGATAATTTGGAAGAAATGGATAAATTGCTTAACATATTAACCGCCAAAGCGTAAACAGCAAGAAATAGGAAACTTGAACACATCAATAACCAGCAAAGAAATTATATCAGTAATCAGAAAACTCCCAGCAAACAAAAGTCCAGGGCCAAATGGCTTCACAGGAGAACTCTAGCAAACATTTTAAAAAGAGTTAATACCTATTCTTCTCAAATTAGTCCAAAAGAGTAGAAATGGAAATAAAACTTCCAAACTCATTCTATGAGGCTAGTGATTACCCTGATTCCAAAACCAGACAAAGACTCCACTAAAAGAGATCTATAGGCCAGTATCTCTGATGGTTGCAAAATTTCTCAAAAAAATATTGTTAAATCCAATCCAACAATACATTAAAGAATAATTCATCATGACCAAGTGGGATTTTACCTGGATTAATGGTGGTTCAATATTTGCAAGTCAATCAATGTGACACATTACATTAATAAAAGATAACCATATGATCCTCCCAATCGATGTAGAAAAAGAATTTGATGGTACACATTCGTTCTTGATGAAAACCCTCAACAAAATAGGCATAGAGGGTATAGACTTCAACATAATAATGGCCATATAAGAAAAATGTACAGCTAACATTATCCTTAAAGGGGAAAAACTGAGAGTTTTTCCCCTAAGGTCAGGAACAAGACAAGGATGTACTCTCTCCCCTTGTATTCAACATAGTACTGGAAGTCCTAGCTACAGCAATCAGATAACAAAAAGAAATAAAAAAGAATTCATATCAGCAAAGAAGAAGTCAAATTTTCACTAAATGCAGACTGCATGAAACTCTAGAAAACCCAAAGACTCCACGAAAAAAACCTGCTAAAATGAATAAACAAATAAATGAATTTAGTAAAGTTGCAGGATACAAAATCAACATACACAAATCTATTGCACTTATACACAAATAATAAAACAGCAGAAAGAAATTAAAGAAAACAATCCCATTTATAATTGCACCCAAAATAATAAGATACCTAGGAATAAACCTAAACAAAGAAGTAAAACAATTGTATTCTGAAAACTAATGCTGATGAAAGAAATTGAAGATAACATCAAGAAATGGATTGGAAGAACAAATGTTGTTAAAATGTTTATACTACCCAAAGCAATCTACACATGTAATACAATCCCTATTAAAATACCAACAGCTTTTTTCATAGATAGAACTAACAATCCTAAAATTTGTATGGAACCACAAAAGACACCAAACAGCCAAAGCAATCTTGAAAAAGAAAAGCAAAGCTGGAGATACCACAATTCCAGACTTCAAGTTATATTACATATCTGCAGTGATCAAAATGCTTTGTTACTGGCACAAAATAGATACATATATCAAGAGAAAAGAATAGAAAACCTAGAAATAAACCCACAACCATATAGTGAATCAATCTTCAACAAAGCAAGAAGGAATATCCAGTGGAAAAAGATAGTCTTTTCAACAAATGGTGTTGGGAAAACAGGACAGCAACATGCAAATGAGTGAAACGGAACCACTTTCTTACACCATACACATAAAACAGTTCAAAATGGATTAAGGACCTAAATGTGAGACCAAAAACCATAAAATCTGAGAAAAGAACATAAGCAGTAACCTCTTTGACATCAGCCATAACAACTTTTTTCTAGATATGTCTCCTGAAGTATTGGAAACAAAAGCAAGAATAAACTCTCGGGACTTCATCAAGATAAAAAGCTCCTTCACAGTGAAGGAAACAATCAACAAAATTCAAAGGCAACTTAAGGAATGAGAGAAGATATTTGCAAATGACAAATCTGCTAAAGGGTTAGTATCCAAATTATATAAAGGAATTATAAAAGTCAACATCCCCCCAAAAAACAAACAATCCAATTAAAAAATGGGCAGAAGACATGAACAGACAATTCTCCAAAGAAGGCATGCAGATGGCCAACAGACAGGTGACAAGATGTTCATCATCACTTACCATCAGGGAAGTGCAAATAGAAACTACAATGAGACATCACCTCACACCTGTCAGAATGGCTAAAATCAACAACACAAGAAACAACAGGTGTTAGTGAGGATGTGGAGAAATAGAAATCTTCATGCACTGTGCAAAGGTGCAGCAATTCTGGAGAAAAGTATGGAGGTTCCTCAAAAAGTTAAAAATAGAACTACCCTGTGATCCAGCAATTGCACTACTGATTTTTACCTGAAGAATACAAGAACACTAATTCAAAAGGATACATACAGCAGCATTATTTACTATAGCTAATATATGGATGCAGTCCATGTGCCCATTCATTGATTAATAAATAAAGATGGGGTATATATATTGCAGTGGAATATTATTCTGCCATGAAAAAGAATGAAATCTTGCCATTTGCAATGACATGGACGTAGCTAGAGACTACAACTAAGCAAAGTAAGTCAGTCAGAGAAAGCCAAATACCATATGATTTCACTCGCATGTGGAATTTGTTAAACAAAACAAGTGAGCAGAGAGAAAGTTCAAGAAACAGTCTCTTAATTATAGAGAGCAAACTGATAGAGACAGGAGGGTGTGGGGGGATTGGTTAAAGAGGTGATTGGGGATTGGGAGTGCACTTGTGATGAGCCCAGGGTAGCATATGGAAGTGTTGAATCACTATATTGTACACTTGAAACTAATATAACACTGTATGCTGGGGCGCCTGGGTGGCTCAGTCAGTTGAGCATCCGACTTCAGCTCAGGTCATGATCTCATAGTTTGTGAGTTCGAGGCCCACATCAGGCTCTGTGCTGACAGCTCAGAGCCTGGAGCCTACTTCAGAGTCTGTGTCTCCCTCTCTCTCCATCCCTCTCCCGTCATGTTCTGTCTCTTCCTCTCAAAAATAAGTAAACGTTAAAAAAAATTTTAAAAATAACATTGTATGCTAACCGAAATTAAAATAACAGATTTAAGAAGATGAGAAGAAAGATGATGAAATCTCTAGTAATGTGGGAAATGTACAAACATCAATTTTAAGTATTTGAAAATTATAAAGTTGTAAGTTTGAATTCTAATTTATCTGCTACATGTGCTTAAAAAGTTTGCTTTACCTCTGTGAGTCTCCACTTTCCTTGTCAGTTAATCATAACTTCTGTCTACTTATCATGTTTTCAATAATTAAGCTGTTCCTTTTCTGAGCAAGTCTGGTGGGCCCATTTCCTTTCATTTTACTCTTTGTGGTTGCTTTTACTATCCCGGTCATTTTATTTCTACCAGAAATTTATTTTTTTTCTACAAAAATTAATCTCTGTTCTCTGTTAAGAATTTCATCACTCTGCACAACCAATTTTAAGTTATGTTTGGTTTTTCTTGAGGGAAATATAACTGAAGAATGGGAGAATAACTGATGACCAGAGGACAAAAATGAAACAGATGTACACAGTTAAGTGCCATAACTAAGGGGAATAAAGTAGGGAAGAAATAGAGAATGTAAATGGCTGATTTGGTTTCTGATAACCTCCTACTTTGGGTTTAAGTTATAAGATCCAGTTATGCTTTCTGTTCTTGGATTCCATAAGATACCCTTGAATAATTCCAAAACTTTACCTTTATACTGAAGCTAAAAGAATTTTTATTACCTATAATTCAACTGTCCATGATTGAGACATCTGTTACAGAACACCTAATCACTACATTGTTTCTATTGAGAAAGATGTTCATGTTCAATGTACCTATTTCTGCTCAAAACTAAAATATTAAGTTAAAACCACAATCACTTGAAAGGTATTTATGATTCCAAATATATTTTTTGTTAAAAAGGTATTGGTGCAAATAATCAAAACTATATAAGTTGTCTTTTTTTTCAATTTCTTGGAAACATAAAGGAATGAAATGAAAAAAAAAATCCAAATAATTCACCAACTAAATGTTTTCTAATTAATTAAGATGAGTGTTATTCAACATTTACCTGCTTATTTATAAAAGTGAAAATTTTTTATAATGCAGTAGTAGCATTAGAAAGTAATAACTCTTCACACATATCAATAGCTTGAATTTTTTATAAATTAAAATTTATTCATGAAAATTCATATTATAAAATAAAATAAAGGTAAATAGGTTTCACAAAATTATTTTCATTTTTTCTTTTTTTTTTTTAATTTTTTTTTCAACGTTTATTTATTTTTGCGACAGAGAGAGACAGAGCATGAACGGGGGAGGGGCAGAGAGAGAGGGAGACACAGAATCGGAAACAGGCTCCAGGCTCTGAGCCATCAGCCCAGAGCCTGACGCGGGGCTCGAACTCATGGACCGCGAGATCGTGACCTGGCTGAAGTCGGACGCTTAACCGACTGCGCCACCCAGGCGCCCCATCATTATTTCTAAAAATACAAATTGTCTATATGTTCTAAAAAATAAAATTGTTGACTATAATTTTTAAAGCTTGTATTCAAAACCTATACTGTAAACAGCTACTTCAAAAGTAGCAAGTCTCCTCCAAAATCATCAACTAAACCTTTGATATTAAAACTCCAAATTAATAATACACATTAAAATGAACACAAATTGGATTATATCAGTGTACTTGCCTCTTTTTCAGATTCTTTAAATGTTGTTTCTTTATCCTTTACTCGCTGCATAAACTTTTGTTTCAATTCTTCTTCTTCCCTCTGACATTGATCATAGAACTTTTGTCTTTTATCTTCATAGATCTCTTGGAAACTATAAAAAATATTTTATTATTGTCATATTAAAATGGTATATAAATAAACCTGTAAAAATATATACTGTACAGTACATAAATTATATACTGTAAAATATAATGTAAAAAATTTATATCATGAGATGTAAAAAAGTGGAGTGCAGTATTGAATATATGGACAGCCTACCTAAAGAGTACTAGAATTTTGAAACACTTATATCAGTGATTTCTTTTTTTTTTATTTTTTATTTTTGGGACAGAGAGAGACACAGCATGAACGGGGGAGGGGCAGAGAGAGAGGGAGACACAGAATCAGAAACAGGATCCAGGCTCTGAGCCATCAGCCCAGAGCCCGACGCGGGGCTCGAACTCACGGACCGCGAGATCGTGACCTGGCTGAAGTCGGACGCTCAACCGACAGCGCCACCCAGGCGCCCCTCAGTGATTTCTTATTATCAACACTTTTCATTATATCACAACTCTTCACATCTTTTGATAATAAAATTTCAGGAGACCTCTACTTTATAAAATTCTTATTTAAAATGAAGCATCATCATCCTCATCATCATCATCATCATCATAGCTATAATTATCAAAACAGTATGGTACTGGCACAAAAATAGACATATAAATGGATCATAATTAAGATCCCCAAAACAAACCCAAGTTTATATGGTTAATTAATCTATGACAAAGGAGGAAAGAATACACAATGGGTAAAAGTCTCTTCAATAATTGGCACTGAAAAACTGAACAGCTAGGTGCAAAAGAATGAAAATGGACTACGTTCATATACCATACACAGAAACTCGAAATTAATTAATTACCTAAAGCGAAACCTGAAACCATAAAACTCCTAGAAGAAAACATAAGCAATAATCTCTTGGACATTGGTCAACATTTTTCTGCCAACATTTTTCTAGCTATGTCTCCTCAGGGAAAGGGAACAAAGGCAAATATAAACTATTTTGACTACACCAAAATAAAAGACTTTTTTACAGTGGAGGAAACCATCAACCAAATTAAAAGGCAACCTACTGAATGGGATAAAACATTTGCAAATAATATATCTGATATGAGGTTAGTAACAAAAATATATAAAGAACTTCCACAACTCAACACCAAAAAGAAAAAAACAAACTGATAAAAAATGGGCAGAGGATGTGAATAGACATTTTTCCAATGAAAATATACAGATGGCCAACAGACACATGAAAAAATGCTCAACGTTAGTATCATCAAGGAAATGCAAATCAAACCACAATGAGACATAATCTTACACCTGTCAGATGTTGGTATGATGTGGCAAAAAGGGAATCCTCATGCACTGTTGGTTGGAATGTAAATTGGTACAAGTGCTGTGGAAAAAAATATGGAGGTTCCTTAAAAAGTTAAAAATAGGGGCGCCTGGGTGGTGCAGTCGGTTAAGCGTCCGACTTCAGCCAGGTCACGATCTCGCGGTCCGTGAGTTCAAGCCCCGCGTCGGGTTCTGGGCTGATGGCTCAGAGCCTGGAGCTTGTTTCCGATTCTGTGTCTCCCTCTCTCTCTGCCCCTCCCCCGTTCATGCTCTGTCTTTCTCTGTCCCAAAAATAAATAAACGTTGAAAAAAAAAATAGAAATACCATAGGTTCCAGTAATTCCACTACTGGTTATTTACCCCCCAAAATGAAAACATTAATTCAAATATATATATTATATAAATATATATAATATATTATATATATAATATAAATATATATTATATTTATTATATATTATGTAATATATATTATATATTATTTATATTATATATATAATGTATTATATATTTATATATATGAAATCAAATATATATTTGGATATATATTTGATTATTTGGATCTAAATAATATATATTTGGATCCATATATATTCAAATATATATATTTGAATCCTTAAGTGTGTTTCAGCATTATTTACCATAGCCAAGACATGGAGGCAACCTGTTTCCATCAATAGATGAATGGATAAATAAGATGTGGGGTATGTCTGTGTGTATGCATGTGTGTGTGTGTAAATAATATTACTCAGCCTTAAAAAAGAATAAGATCTTGCTATTTGTGACAACAGGGATGGACCTAGAGGGTACTAAGCTAAGTGAAATGTCATAGAAAGAAAAATACCATATGATTTCACTTATATGTGGAATGTAAAAAACAAAGCAGATGAACAAATAAGCAAACAAAAGGAGGAAACGACAAATAAATATGAACAAACTGGTGCCTACCAAAGGCTAGGGGAATGGGAGATGGGAAAAATGGGTGAAAGGGAGTGAGGGGGTAGAGGCTCCTGGTTATGAAATAAGTAAGTCAAGTGGGTGAAAGGTACACCATAGGAAATAAAGTCAATGGTATCATAATGGTGTTGTATGGTGACATGGTAACTACACTTGTAGTGAGTGTAGCAGAATGTAAAAGTTGTCAAGTCATTATGTGTACACCTTAAACTAATGTAACGTGTATCACTATAGTTAATTTTTAAAAATTATTTTATGAGTGAGAAAAATCTGGTTTTCACATCTTACTTTTTAAAAAAAATTTTTAACGTTTATTTATTTTTGAGACAGAGAGAGACAGAGCATGAACAGGGGAGGGGCAGATAGAGAGGGAGACACAGAATCTGAAACAGGCTCCAGGCTCCGAGCTGTCAGCACAAAGCCTGATGCGAGGCTCAAACTCACGGACCTGAGATCGTGACCTGAGCCGAAGTCAGACCCTTAACCGACCAAGCCACCCAGGCGCCCCATGGTTTTCACATCTTTCTTAGAAAGTCTACCTCTTCTCCCAAAATAAAAATTAAATATTAAGTCAGACATCTTTCAAAATATAATTCAGTTAAAATAACCAGTTCAATTTTGTTTGTCTTCAAAATACCTGAAAAAATCAGCATACCTGGATCATACCACACTCTCATCATTTGCAGCACAAAAACTATTCTACTTAAATATCACTAAATACACCTACTCTCAAACTATTTTCACTTGAATTCTACAACATTCCACTGTGGCTTTTCCTCTCTCTTTCATCCAACATTCAATGTCCTTTGTCATCCTTCTTAATATTCTTTGCCAGCTCTTATCAATAAAGGCTTTGCCAATATTTGGAAACCTCCTTCATGTACATCTATTTCATATAAAATACAAAAATAAAAACAATATAATGTTTTTCTTTTGGATACACATTTCAGCATATATACATATTGGATACATTGGATACTCTTTTTTGAGCACATAAATGAGCCCTTTAATTATGTTGCTGCTAACAACTCTCTCCAAGTCTGAAGATGATTAAAAAACAAAATTTGAGGGGCGCCTGGGTGGCGCAGTCGGTTAAGCGTCCGACTTCAGCCAGGTCACGATCTCGCGCTCCGTGAGTTCGAGCCCCGCGTCAGGCTCTGGGCTGATGGCTCGGAGCCTGGAGCCTGTTTCTGATTCTGTGTCTCCCTCTCTCTCTGCCCCTCCCCCATTCATGCTCTGTCTCTCTCTGTCCCAAAAATAATAAACATTAAAAAAAAAACAAAAAAAAAAACCAAAATTTGAGATGATCCATTTGGATACAACATGGCAGAGAAGTAGGGGGATCTGAAGTTCCCTCATCTCTCAAACACAGCAGTGTTGAGGCCAAAGGACTTTGAACTCCAAAAGTCTGGGCGACCAAGTAACAGAGATGCCTCCAGGGACCCACTGGGACAAACTGGCAGGCCATTGGTGTGTGATTACAAACTGGGAGAGATAAAACGGGCAGCAGAGGAATGGAGGGGAAGGATCACCTTCTGTGGAGAGACAAAGGGAAGAGAAAGAGAGGGTGGGAAAGCATAGGACTGTATCTGGACAAGAGAAAAACCACAGACCAGGACTGAGAAAGATCCAATCTCTTAACTGTGGGGCTTTCTCCGGATTGGACGAGCTGCCCTGTTTGCACACCTGGGGAAGAGGAGAGCCAGTCCCAAGCTCAGTAACTAGTTCAGAGGTGCAGTCTACAGAGGGAGAAAGCAAATCCCTCCCTGGAGTGGTGTGGGAAGAAGGTATATAGCCACTCAGAGGAAAAGACTGCCTGCACCTGCCAGCCAGAGACCATATATCTGGCAGTGCAAAGAGACACTTCCCAAAACTTAGGGTGTATAGAGTGGGAACCTTTAGACATCGGGGTTTAAGTCCCAGCCAAGATGCAGGGAGGCACAGAAGTCAGTGGAGCAGGACAAACCACCTTGTTTGAGCCCATGGCACAGTGAAGACAGCATGAACAGAGTGGTTTGGGACACACTGTCCATGGAGGAGAGACTAGGGTGCCATTTTTCTCCCCATCACCAATAATGTGGGGCTTCAGGGAATGAACAGTGAGCCCAGAGTGGAAGCAGGACCCGCCTACACCAAACCATGACCCTCTGTGCCTGGTAACTGTGTATCTATGAGAGCCGGATTGACACTGATGAACCAGACAGCCCCTCCTCCAGACCAGCACTGTTGCATTGCCTGATTTAATTTTCAGACAATTCTTATTATATAGACACAGTCTTCCTTCCTTTTCTCCTTCTTATCTCTCCCCTTCTCGAGTCTGGTTATTCTGATTGTTGGTTTGTTTAAGCAGACATATTTAATCTATTGGCTTTATACATGTTATACACCTCCTTCTTTATTTTCCTTTCTCTCTCTCTGGATTAATCCATACAGTTTCTCTGGTCAATTTTCCTTTCTTTCTCTCCAACCCTGTCATTTCTCTCTTAGTATGGGATAAGGCCTCTTCCATAAGCACTACCTCCACCATATTGTTTACTTGTAGCTGGTGTTTCTGTGGGTTTTTCTGGGGTTTTTTTTGTTTGTGTGTTTGTGTTTTGTTTGTCTGTTTTCCTTTCCAGGGTTACTTCCATCAACAAATCAAAGTAAACCTGGTGAAGGGTTGAAGCATCACTATGAGAAGTGGAGAGATAAAGTAAACCAAAGTCACAACAACTGAGAGCAAGTAACACACTCCAAAAGACACCTATGGAAGGGACAGACCCTGGA